GTTCTCCCCCCATCTCCTTTACAGCCTGAGAAATTAGGGAGGGTCTCTTCTGTGCCTCTTGTTCCACCCACTGTCCAGCTGCAGGCTATGCTGTCTCTTATCTGATTGTTCCCTAAGCAGCATCTCTTCACCCCATTTCTCAAGGTCTTTCCCACATGCCATTACATGCTTAAGAGGCTCAACATCTCTTTTGCGCTCAGAACATTTGATGGTTGAAACATTTTGTAACTCAGAGCAACTTCTAGAACATTCTCCTTAATTCTGTCTTTGACTCTCTTTCATACCCAGTTGCTCTGCCTCCAGAAAAGACAGAGGGAAGTTGCAGTGGTGATGAAAAGAAAACAGAGAAGGAAGCTGATACACACACAAATGCCAAGAAGCAGCTAAAATTTGAGGTAAGAATGTTGTCTTTTGTTGGGGCAGTCTGTTACTGTTATATCTTTAAAGATGTCATTTCCACCCAATTTGACTCCTAATCAGCTCAATGTTAGTGGTTGCAAATACAGATGTAGTTCAAAACAGCGATTCTGATTTGGTTCCAAACATTCTAGGAGTGTCCTGAGGTCAAAACAGCTCTGGTTCATGCTTGGAACGCTTCCAGAAGGGTTGGAACAACATCAGAACACTTCCAGAAAGGATGAAATAACCCATTTTGAGCTTGAAACAGCATTTGGAGTCTTGAAATGTTTTGTCTTTAAAAAATTTCACAAGCCTGCTAAATGCATGCCCTGTTTTCCTGGCAGATAGAAGAACCTTCAAAAGTTCAGAGAACTCCTAGCTTTGTGCCCTGTTTGGGAGTGCATAATAAGGATTGTACGGAATTACATTTTGCATATATGGTTGCAGAGTGGTTGTCTGTTTCTTTCTCCTGGCAAAAGGACAGATTTGGAAAGAATTGGAGGTGACCCAAAATCATGCTTTCTTACTCCATACCCTGCTATACATATAAAAGGCCACCATACTAGCAGTCGAATCTTGGCTCAAAACTGACAGTGAGGCAGCAACTACTTACTACACCTGAAAGGGAGAGCTTAGCTTCAGGTGAAGGGCAGATGTATCCACTCACAAGTCTGCCTACTCATCATCTCTCAGTTGGCTTCTTGAGGGCGGTTGATTGACTTTGCTTAATTATGGGACCAGACCTTTGAAGAATGCAAGTTGACCCATGGTGCAAGGAGAGTTTTCTCTCAAAGTACAAAGACTCTGCAACTGCCAGGAGGATTATTCCAGCTTTTCTATTTAGTGAATCATTGTGAGCAACTGAAAGAAGCTTCACATGTTCATGATGAGATGGCTGTCTAGAACAACTCACTGCTTTTCTTGCATCAGCTTTGGGGACTTTCATCAACTTCCAGGAAGGGGGCTTTTGGAATGAGTTTCATTTGGATGTTCTGCACTGTGGCAAGTCTCTCCATGCTTACCATGTTCCAGGCAGAGACAAACCAAAGCAGCAAAGGAACTCAGGGCACAAGATAGGTTGGTTGGCAGTCAAGGTATCTAGGAAGCAATCAAGGAGTATACTGTTGTGGCATCAGGTATTCCAGAAAGTAATGGCGTGCCTGTAATTCTGAAAAAGGCATGCCTAGGCATCCAGGATAGAAACCAGCTAAAACATCTGCTTTAACTATAGTGGGGTGTGTGTGTTTGTGCGGAGTTTCCTCAGTGATGTCCCACGGAATACTTAAAATTGTAAACTAAGCTCTAGATTCATGCCCAGCTGGATGGCAGCACTTAGCTGACCTTAGCTGATCTTGAAAAGCTAAGCAGGATCATGCTTGATCAAGACTAATCCCAGGAGTATAGACTAGACTGGGAGGCTGGAAGAAACAACTAATTGAAAAGAGCCTGCATGGTTCATTCCAGGAAATCACCAGGAATCAAACTTGACTCAAGGAAGACTTTTATTTGGTTTGTCCTAGTGTGTGCATGAGTTGGAGACTCCTGGGAGCTCATATGATGAGAACTTCCTCTAATGCCCACCAAGCAACACCGATCCCAACTGTGGCAAAATTTAAATATATTACCTATTTTCTTAAGTATCATGAACTAGCATTAACTAATTTTCTCTGCTGGCTATCATCACATTTCTTCCTCCGTGTTGTTTTATCTGTGTTCGGTTTTCTTGCTTGCTTGCAGAAGGTGATCAGTATGTTGTTGTTGCTGTAAAAATTATAGATAATGCTGGGAGTAAGCAGAGCCAATTACAAGTACATAAGTGATGTAATTCTCCTCCTTGGGTATAAATTCAGCTAAGTAGACTGATTAAGAGTCCTCAGAGGATGGCTGCGATCTTGCCAAAATTGTTCTAAAATTGTTCCAGGACTGATACGTGGGGTTGGAAAAGAATGAACTTTCATCTTTCCTTTGTTTTTCTAAGCCTCCTGGATTGCTCTTTCAGTCAAATGGAGAGACATCCTTGAGAAAATAAAGACCCTTCGTACAGCTTCATTGATATCTTAATACGTTGTTATGACTATATCATTATTAGTAACAATGATCATTATCTTTACAGTGCTTTTTCTCTATGGAAATGTTTGCAGTAGCCTTTCCATATCTAGTGGCCTCCAGAATGAATGAGAATATAACTCTTGGAATTTCCAGCCAATATATATGCCCTTTGGCTGAGCCCTGTTGGTGAGGAATTTGGGGAAATGTAGTCTTATCAGATCTGGAGGGGAGAGGTTCCTTTCCACATTTTCTAAGTTGTCACCATTTTTTAAATTACTGATAACGCTATTGCTGTCTATTTAACTTTCGCTTTACCAATTTACTGCATAGTACATTTGCATGCCAACAACTCTTACTAATAATAATTTAAATAAAAATAAGCATTAAAATAATTTCAGTTATAGTTCAATCCACTGCACATTTATCCTGAAGTCAGTTCCTCTCTGTTAAATGAGTCTCTGTTTCACATATAGGATCGCTAACAATGAATATTAGCAGTCACCGAGTCAAGGTATACTTCAGATCTGGCAGTGGCTCAGAGTCATAGCTCTTTATAGCCATTTTGGGTGACTGTGTGATGACATTGCTAGAGGTGAATGTGAACACTGTACAAGAAGGAGATAACATTTGTTCACGATAAATGCTGAAAGACTGCAGAAGAGAAGTGTTTGTGTGTGTATCCACCCACCCAACCCTCCATCCCACCCATCCCTCCAAGCAGAATGATTGGGGGGTGGGGGGAATGGAGGATTGTTTCTTTCATTTAAGCAGTTAGACATTTTTTTAATTCACTGTACTTGTTAGGATTGCCTCTAGGAAGACTTAGGCACCCTGTAGTTGAAAGAGCCAAAAAGAGCATGTGGTCAAACATAAACAGATGCTTAGGTTGCAAGCGCACAGCATGTCTGAGAAAAGCTCAGAAATCTCAAGAACACCCACTTCTTCTGCTGCTTTGATGCAAGGACCTAGCCTGAAGTAACCAAGATCCTCTGTGTTCACATGACCTGGTTGCATGGACAAACTCCAATACTCCTTTCTGGAGTACAGTGTAGTGAAGAGTGTGTCAACTGTTGTCTCAGCCTGAGAGCTATCTTGATGGGACAGAACTCCATTCTTCTCTGCTGAGTGCACGAATTCTAATTAAAGCGTCCCTGACAGTTGGCTATCCACCATCTGCTTGAATATATCCAGTGAAAAGGAGCCTGCTGCCTTCTGCAGGAACTGGTTCCACCACAGAACCTAGAATGTAAGGGTTGGAAGTTACCTTGGAGAACAGTTCTTAACATTTCTCCTGAATCCATTTCCTGTACTGTAGCATAAGATCATTCTCTGAATTGATAAAGAATGAGTCTTGGATTGCTTCTATGTGGCAACCCACCAGGTATTTGTAAATTCCAGTCCCCTGAGTAGTTTTGTCACCCTTCTCTGAAACTTTTCCATAGGTTTCATAGAATGTGGTTTCCAGAACTGGACACAATACTCAAAATGGTATCTCACTTATGCAGAATAGAAAGAATATTACTTCCCATGACTTGGACCTTCTGTGGATGCATTTGTTGATTTTACCCCTTTTTGCAGTCACCAAACACTGCTGATTCATATTTGTCTTGTAATTCAGCTACTGTTCCAAGAGTGAACTGAAACCCTCTTTGAAAACGTCAGTATCTTATACTCTCACAAAATGGAGGTTATGGAGAGATCCAAATGAAGACCCGATCCAGCTTTGGGGCTTGCTTTGGCTAGCTGATTAAGAGAAACTCTATGTCAGTGAAAATCCTGTTTGTGCCTACATGTCTCCATTTTCCCTGTAACCCATGGACACTCTACAAAAATGAGTCCTAGATGTAGAATTCGACACTGAATAATAATACATATTACTGATTTGTGTCTCAGGCTGTGCAAGACAGATGCCTCCTCCTGTGGGTCAGAGAGTCAAGTGCAGAGATAGGCCCATGCATGTCCCCCCTTGTATTTCAGATCAGAGCTTCTCAGTGGTGCAAGCGAGGGGCTAAGCACACAGTAGACTCTTTCATTTTATGACAGGGTACAGAGGAATCTGAAATACGACAGCCAAGAGGTCTAAATCTGAGGTGGAGGATGTGCCTTCGCTTTTAAAGAAGATGGGAATGTTTGTGTACTGTAATCTGAAACGCCACTTCCACGACTGTGTAGGGGTGTTTTGGCAGTTTTCAGCCAGGGCCTGTTACAAGTAAGAGACGGCTGCCTTTGAACTCAGCAGGGAGCTGGGGGCTTTACCGTTAACTGCTGTAGGGAATTGGTTTCAAGTCAGCAGATCAAGCAGGTATTTCAGAGCTCCCATCATGCCAAAGCTATTTGGAACTGTTTATTTTACTTGAGTGCAACAGCTTTTCTTTTAATTGCCCCCATGGCTTGCATTGCTCTCCTTGACTCTGATCACGCAAGCTTCTACAGAAGGAAGGTGAAGGTCTTGTAAAGTTGAGGTGGGGCGTTGGATTGAAAATAGTTGATTGTGCAAACAGTTTTTCTCCTTGGAAGCTCAAGATTGAACTGGAAAGTCCCTAGTTTAATTCTTACCTTAGCTGGGTAACATCACCAGGCATCCTTACATTAACCACTGCAGCTGATCCTTGTCTTCTTGAATTCAATATTGAGGTTAAGTTTCAGCTGCTCTCACTGATCCCTAAACTGGGATCCAAAAAGGTGGCCTGATGTTGCTGTCAAAATACAAACTGAAAAAACATTCTCACGAGATTTCTGAGACTACAGCCATTTTTATTTTTTAATAGTATTTTTATTTATTGTTGGGCTCCAATGACTCCGTCAGGAGAATCTTCGGCTGTTTCATTGCCAATCCGTGGCAATCCATGGTGGTCTGCAGAAGTTATTGTTGAAGATGTAGTAATCCATTAAAACGGGGGGGGGGGATGGAAACCACTGTATTAGCAGGTAATATGCAAATACCAGATTACCTGTAGGGCTGTAATATGACATACGAAACAGTGGCAAGGTTGCTTACCAACCTCGCTTCCTCTACTGCCCTACCCTTATGTGCTCTCACTTTTTTTTTTCTGACAAGGTTTCAACCACCCCCTTTTTTTAACCTCCTGAAAATATTTGGGGGCTGTGGTGTGGCCTAATATTTTTGGAAAGAAAGATGCTGGAGGCTGGCATTTTGCATTTTGCATTGTAACATTCCAATTTCCCATTGAATTTTTTTTGAATGAAAATGATCTAAAGCTGTGGTTCTTAACTTTTTTGTGTCATGGGCCCCTTGGAAAGTCTGGCGAAGCCTACAGACCCCTTCTCCGAAAAACATATTTACATGCATAAAATAAAATACATAGATATAGATTGATATAAAGGAAACCTATTATGCTCAAATACAGTTCTTTAAATATTAAAAAACAATCAATATATAATTTAGTAATATATGTGCTTTATTAATTCATTAAACCAATAACAATACCCTTTTCTAGGGTGTAATTATTTTAGATGAATGGAAGTTAATAAACATTGTTGGGATCCAGCAGCCATAAATTAATTTGTTGCCCCCTTAAATTATTGAATGAAAAGCTAAATTTCAATTCGAGTTTAGTGAAAAGAAAGCTGTATTTTTCCCCCCATCCAAGTTCACAGACCCCTGAAATCTACCCATAGATCCCCAACCTATCCATGGACTCCAGATTAAGACCCTGTGATCTGAAGGAATACCATAGTAAAAGTTGAGTCAAGTAGGGGGCCTGGTTGATGTCAAGGAAAAGAGTCTGGGGTTACCATGTTTGGTTGTGTATACTAAATTGAAGCTTGAAAGGGAAAGGTGGTTAGTCTTATTAACCAGCCTGGTTGCAAAGAATCACTGTATATCTGGGGAGGCAAGTAGTTTTCATTGTTTGGGGAGGCAACTCTACTAGTAATTCCATGAGCAATTCCAAACCCACCAACTGGAAATCCAGTTTGCTGACTGAGATGGGAGAAGTTGGTTCCTCTGATTCTTGATGCTTACAGAGGCTGAAACAATATTTGAGGCATAACCGTTCTGCTCAAGAATGTTGACTGGTTTTTATCATGTCAAGCATTGTTTTTAAAACAATCTTTCGCTGCAATTGCTGGCCTGTAAAAAGATGAATGCTTGGTGCATGAAAACTCCTTGGTTTTGCATAAACTGTTTGTATAAGCGATATTCTGTTAACATCCTTGATTTACAGATGTTGTACTATCTGGCCTGATTCTAGTTGCTGGGTCCTAAAACCTTTTAATGTTTTTACTATAAATCAACTTGTGCAGAATTAGGTAAAGCATTTCTGGCTTGGCAAGAGGGTTGTTGTTGTTTTGATTCAGCAGTTGTGATGTTTTAATGGGTCAGAAGGGAGAATGAGAATAAATGCTACATTTAACATCCGTGCGGTGAAAAGAGTTTTTCCAGATAATGGATCTGTGTGACTAGTTTGCAGTAACTTCTGCTTCTCTTGTCCACTGTTTCATGCTGTAAATCTCTTCCATTTTCTCCTTAAATTAATTGGCTTGTTCTTTCTCTCTCAAATTGGAGGATTCTACTTCCTGTTTCTAAGCATTTTTGTAAGTAGCTTTCACAGAGTTTCTTCTTATTGCTTAAGGAAACTGAAAATGTTTCAAACTCTGCAGGAAACTTAGCCCAAGGGAATTAGATAAAAGCTCTATTGAACATCTTCTTCTGTCCAACAAGAGAATAGCTGACGCATACCCCCTAAATATTATTACGGTTTTGGGGAGGAAAAAATGAACAAGCTGACATATCTTATTTGGGGTTGTAATATTTTTTAATAACTGTAAGACAGTTTCTGGAATTATCTGGCATAAAAACCAGAGGTCATTATCCACATGCCCTGGTTGGTGGTTTTGACCAGCCACTTCAGGAAATGAATGTTGTATTAGATGCGGAAGGGGGTAGTAGCTTACAACTTAGGTTTGAATGCCACATCTCCCCATCTAATTTGCCTATAACTGCTGAAAATGGGTGCCGTTCATTGTGAGATGAAGTGTGGAAGGCAAGTTTTAACTATGTAGAACTATGTACAGTTCCCGTTCTATGCAGATCACTACATTGTCATTGAAAGTTTTGGTGGACCACCATAGAAGCTAACCTTTTTAAATATTGCTTAGAGCTTCTAGGAGTCAGGCTTACATATCAAAGGATATTAAACATGCAACTATTTCTGATGATTTATGATGCTCGTTCCCAGACTTAATTGTCCTCATCACCGTAATTTATGTACAGCCTACTGGGGGATTATATTATTACATTATTATTACATACAGACAACAGTGCACTGATGATACCTAACTTCAAACTGGCAGATGACCTCACCCACTGGCCTCATGTAGATGGTAGTGTCAAGCCCTACGGTGCTTTGGTTTGATCTGTCCCCATCTGCCAACACTAACTGGAACTGACCACAGAGAAAGGAGAAGAACCACCACAACTTAGTATGCCCTCCTCCTCCTTATCCCCATAGGCAGTCCAGAAGGATGCCAAAGTGGATGGTATCAAAGGCCTCTGAGAGATTCTAGAGAAATGAGGATCGTTGCAACATACTGATCCTGTTGTGCCAGAGGTCATCAGCAAGCATGACCAACACTGTCTCAGAATTATGCCTTGATTAGTCTTCAAGGTCAGCCCTGATGAAGGGGTCTAGGAAATCTGTTTCCTCCAGGCCCCTTTGAAGCCACAGCCCAACCACTTTTCTCAGCAATCTCCCCTAAAAAGGGAAGGTTGAAGACTTTTCCCTTGAAAAAGAATCTTCAAACATACAGGTAATCCTTGATTTATGACCACAATAAGGACTGGAAAATTCATTGTTGAGTGGTGCGGTTGTTAAGTGAGGCATCATGTGACCACACCTGATTATACATTCTTTTTTGCCATGGTCATTAAGTGAATCACCATGGTTGTTAAGCAAGAACCTCATGTGTCCATGACTTTTGACCTTCCCTGCTGGCTTCCCCATTGACTTTGCTTGTTGGAAGCTGGCTAGGAAGGTCGCAAAAGGTGATCATGTGACCGCAGGATGCTGCAACCATCGTAAATGCACAACAGTTGCCAAGTGCTTGAATCACAATCATGTGACTGTGGGGACGCTATGATGGTTATAAATGGGAGGAGTCATAAGTCACTTTTTTCAGTGTCGCCATAACTTTGAATGGTCGCTAAACGAATGGTTGTAAGTTGAGGACTACAAATGTATTTTTAGACAAGTCAGCCTCCTCTGCAACTAGGACTTTTGCTTTGGGTAATCTTTGTATGTTCCTTAGGAATTGCAGTGTGATGTGTCTGTTGAGGAAGACAACAGGCAAGAATGGACCTTCACACTCTATGATTTCGACAACAATGGCCGAGTCACCCGTGAGGTAAGTGAAGTTACTCCGTCCTGGACTGTGTATGGTGCTTGTTTACATTTACAAATACAAGATATTTTCTGCATAGTATTGCTTTTTGGATACAGAAACCTTTACCTCTGATGGCTTAAAGTGCCATAATGCTATGGAATTCAGGGATTTGGAACAGGATGGGATTACATGGGAAAAGGGTAACAAAGAAACTTTTTACTACTCAAGATCATAAAATAAAGGGATGGGAAGCAAGGGGTACTATGTAGTCTAGCTATGTGCCTAAAGGAGGCAGTTTTGAAAAGTGGAGACTTGAAAAACAAGATGAGGAAATGGACTTGGGCTATGTACGTCACCTTGAAATAATAGTAGTAGTAGTAGTAGTAGTAGTAGTAGTAATACCAGCAGAACAGAAAAGAAAGAACTGGAGAAAATCACAAAATACAAAGACTTGCAAATAGAAATAGAGTGACTGTGGCAAAAGAAAGCAAAGATAGTACCAATAGTAATAGGTGCCTTGGGTGCAATCCCAAAAAGTTTGGAGCACCACTGGAAGACCATCGGCATTGACAAAATCACCATCAGTCAGTTGCAACAGGCAGTTTTACTTACAACAGCTTATATCCTGCAACAATAAACTTTGAACACCATCCAGCAACAACATCTGCCTATCCCAGGTCCTTGGGAAGGACTCAATAGGTTGTTACAAATGCCAAATCTGGTCTAAACATCTGGCTGACTGTGTGACCAACCATCATCATCATCATCATCATCATCATCATCATCATCATCATCCAACGATTTATTAAATTTATATGCTGCCCAACTCTGGGTGGTTTAAAATTGTTACAACATTTAAAAACAAAGAACAATATAAAAAACACAAAAACCACACAAGACAAAAGAACAACAGTGGCAAAGAAAATAGAGAAACAGTAGGTTATAAATACAATAAGTATATGCCCGGAGAGAATGAATTTTACATACTGATTTTCTTTAGGCCCACTGATTCATTTGCTGCAGGTTTCTGAGATAAATCTATGCAGCTCGCTCATCCTTTCTGGAATGCTTTCGAGATACATATTTGGGATATTTTTCATAGGCGCCGAAAGTGACCTGCATACAACAATGCTGTGGGTCCAAAGATCTTTCTCTCCTTGGCTAACCTAAGCAGGAGACTCCCTTCTCAAATGTATACCAGGTGACAATCATTTGATATCTGGGTGCTCATGGTATGGATGGACACAGCTGGAATAGCATTGCATTGGGGGTGAGCTGGAAGATCTGCCTGTAGGGTTAATTTGGTCTGTGGATCAAGCCCTCCTCCACAGAACTGGTTCACATGTGTTGAAGGCCTTGCCTGAATTTGCAACCCTGAATGGATCTGAACCAACTTTTTTGTTGTCCTGCTTTTAGAATCCGTGCAATTTCTTTGCTTGTTTTGCTTTTTCACTCAGTATTGTTTAATGTCAAGGATTAGCGGGATGTGTGTGTGTGTGTGTGTGTTTAAGAGACATTTTAAAAGTGTGTGTTTGGAAAGGGATAAACATCTGAAAGAAATTATTCTTTAAACAGAGTGTCAAGACCACACTTTGCAAAACAAAATCCTTTTTGGCTCCTCAATTGCTATTAGATCCAAGCCAATAAAATAGCAAGTGTGGTGCTCAAATGTCTTTGAAAGTCTTCTCAGTTGGATTGACTGATAATCATATTTATCGGCATGGAAGAGAGATCTGGACTGCTATCTTGGTTGAATTATATGCTCTTTGCCATCATCTTAAATTTGAAATCTGCAAAATACACCCAGTCCCTTTCAGACAACAGATGAGGGCAACATTTTCTTATTATCTATTTATTAAACACATTGATAACGCCATCCAATTATAGCATGTGCTAAAGAGCCTTGAGTATCAATAAAGTATCAAAATGCAGTAATTAGCTATTAAATTGATTTAAACAGAATGTAAAAGATTAGTGCTGGAACTCCCCCTGCCCCATTAACAATGCAACTTTAAGTGTGCCCTGTTGCCCTCAAACTAAGCCTGCATATGTATTATGGCATAAATGTTCAAAAGCTCAATGTATAATAAAATTGTAAATCATTAAGATGACATAAGAGTCTTTGTTACAAAATTCTTTCCTTTCTGCATTTTAGTCCAAGCTACTTTGGGCTACTTTCCTAAGGACTCTTATATGGGAAAAAATCCTGTTGAGAATAGTATTACAGATGGACCTCACTTAACAACTGCCCTATTCAAAGTTACAATGGCACTGAAAAAGTAACTTTACGACCGGTCCTCACACTTACGACAGTTGCCGTGTCCCCGTGGTCATGTGATCGAGATTCACATGCTTTGCAACCAGCAGGCTTTTATGACTGTCACAGTGTCCCATGGTCACGTGATCACCATTTGCGCACTTCACAACCAGCTTCTGACAAGCAGAATCAATGGAGAAGCTGGCAGTGAAATTGCAAGTTGCGGTCATGTGATATGTCACTTAACAGCCACAGTGGAGGTGAGGTCGTAAGTCCGTCATGGTCAGGTGATGTCTCACTTTCAACCACATCACTTAGTCGCAGAGTTGCTGGTCCCAATTGTGATAGTTAAGTGAGGACTACCTGTATTTTTGGATTGTACTTTTAGTTGCTGGTGGGCTATTCCCTTGCCCCCGTCTTTTTACATGCAGCCTCTCAGAGTTTTTGAGAACAAAGAAATCATGCCTAGATCTGGGTTTCAGCCTTAATCTATAGCACTATAGCCATAGTAGCTTTTTCAAATGCAGCACGATTTCTGAATGACCTCTGTTTTTGCAGTAAAAATGACATCAGTGTAATGTAATTATTATATGTATTGCGAGATTAGGGAAATCCTTGTAAACATGGTGCAGCTGGGGTCAGAGAATGGCTTCCTCCATAAAATACAATTCATAAGTTTTGATCTTGAAAGGAGCTTTAGGATTGGTTTTAATAAGTCAAATTATGGTTGAAGGCCTGGGTTACAGCACCTTACAGGAGAATCAATGTGGGCCTCTCTTTGTTGACATCTCATCTGTGTAAGAGCTGTACGTGGAGATGTTGAGATAACATGAACCAGAATTATATGGTCAACCCATAAGTGATTTTTAGGTGGGTAGATTTTGCAGCTGAGGCAACAAAGGGTGCATTTGGTGAGCTGGGTATGATATCATTCTATCCCATCTCATCTCCTATGTATTTAAAATTGGGTCAACAAAAGCAAAGATTGCATAAAAATGCAATTTGCGGTTCCTGCTAATCAAGTTGGAAACTACAGTGATAGACCAAGTGACATTTTCAGCCCATCCAGTTTTCAAACTGATTGTCCAGATAGTGGAGAAAGTATGCCTTCTTTTGCACAGGTAAAATAAAAGAGTTTTCCTATCCTGGCATCCTCCAGGGGTGTTTGTCCCTTAACTACCATTACATCCTTAACTACCATTATCCTAAACCAGTCCAGATCCAGAAAATGTTTGGAATTGTCTGCAGTCCAGCCCAGGAACAGTTGAGATAAAGTATGACACAGTTGTGAAAGTAGAATAGGCCATAAACACATTCACTCCGTGCTCCACAAAAAAACTTTTTGGGTTAAGATGGTAATATGAAGCTCATTCCAAATTCCAGTCATGCTTTAAAAAGGCCACTAAATTGGAAACTAGGTACATAGCATCTAGCAATATAAGATGCAAGGTCTAAGGCTTTGCAAAGTGTAAGACTTTGCTGAACCTTATATTCTATTATAGATTTAGCAGTGGCACTCCCACCAGCCCCAGAATGCATTCATCTTTTAGGCCAAGCTTTGGGGCTATGCTCAATATTTTCAGGCTGTTCCATTAGTCTGGACTTAACCTTGCCTTTGAAACAACAAACATACTCTATTCTTGGAGTGACTTCTCTACCTCTGTTGTGTCTTGTCTGTAGGGTGTTTCGTTTTGGTAGTGTGTTATACAGACATTTGTGTGTCTAGATTAGATTCACACAATGACCAGGTGAGAACACAGAATACCTGTGGATTCAGCAAGACCCAGAGGGAACAGAAATTTCCTCTGCTTGAAGAACAGCAAAGCTTAGCCAAGTGTGAAGTGTGTTATTTCTGATGCGGTGAATTAGAAAGCAAACTGGTATTTCAGAGAGAAATGTGTTGCCCGTGGGTTGTTACGAATCCTGAGTGTTGTTCTTTGTGAATAACTTAGTGGCATGCCCTATAGCTTTAAGGCCTTTCTTGGAGAGGTCTGTGTTAATAGAGCTTCTGAGAGTTGACGAGAGGTACCAAGAGGATGTGAGTGAAAGAAGAAATGAGTACAGAAATATAGCCCCTGCTCCAAGCACGAACAGATTCATGCTGCATCCTTTCTCCCACGTATCTTCCAAGATTTTTATTTTTATGGGTTTAAGCTATCAAAAGACTTTGGATAAGAAAGAGAGAGAAAATCCAGCTGTTGTGTTTGAAGTTAAGACTGGAGAAAGATGTCTCTGGAATAGATGAATACTAACATTCTAGCAAAACTATAATTGCATTAGATGGGAATTCATGTATATCTGGAATTACTTTTCACTTCTGTTACAATTCACAGCTTTTTGAAACATGGGGAGGCTTTTAATTACCCTGCCTTATTAAGCTTGAAGGTTTTACATCTTAAAAAGCCATTTACTTTTTAAATGTTAAATGACAGTGTTTTTCAGGGTATTGCACATGTAAGGTTTATGCTGAACTACTATGGTGGTTAGATTAGATGGTTACCAGTTTTTAAAATTTACCAGGATTTCTTAGGACACTCATAACAAGCTCATTCAAATACAGAAGTTAATATGGGGTATTCAGGAGGTAGGGGTTTTCTCTTTGGAGGGGTTGGAGTAGAGTTTGGGCTTTTCCTTTTCTTTATAAAATATGCTAAGCCTACTTTAGGGATTGCAGTGCATTTCTGAACATCTCCTACCTCAAGCCATGCCGCCAATTTTTAGCGGTTGTGAAGCGAGAGAACTCACCCTGATTTAATGCTGATGAAACTTGGGGTTATTTATATACCTCTTCCGTGGACAAACTTCTCTGCAGCAACTTGCTACTTGTTAAAATTATATGGATGATGTATTGAACATGCTTTTCTCAGTTGCTGTGTTACAGCAACAATAATATAGGCACTGCCTTCCTGCAATGCACTAATATTTGAAAAGAGTGGCTTGCAATGGGGCTGAATTCACACCTCCATCAAAGCCATGGTTGGCTTGACCTTCATTTGCTGACTAATCCATCATAAGGTGAGGTTCCACATGACACTGAGCTATGACCCAGCACTTATAGTTGATAGGAGTTACCACCTGCTAAACCAGAATTGTTATATGATCTCAGCCAAAAAGAAGAGAAGGGGAAAACTCGAAATAGACACATTCTGATTTGCACAATTTGGGGATGAGAGACACAGCCACGCGAAATAGGATTGTGTTGAGAGGCTGGTCTCTCCCTCTGCAAATTGGTTAGTTAGCTATTTAGCTAATGCAGACTAAGTGAATAGAGTAGAGTGGAATTTGGGGAAATATTTAGAATAAACTCGCAAGTGCCTGATTTTGTAACAAAATATGTTCTTGGTTGGTTGGTTGTTTCATAGTTTAGTAAAACAAGTTTTCATGAGTGCATTAACAGGTATGATTGGTGCTTTTAAGGAGACAAATGTATATTGGGGATATGAATATGGTTCCTTCGCTTGAGAATTCTTATATCCTGGCACCTGGAACAGTCTGGGGACGAATTAACTGAAACAGAAATATCACAAAATTGCTCTGTAATCGTGATTTTACAACCATTGGCTATACTCTGCCTTCCTGGAAACCCACCTTTGTTTGACCTGCTGTGATATTACAAAATACTTACAGCTCTTTGACCTGTAGGTGTGGGACTTCAGAGTGTTGGCAAGAAGTCCTGTTTCTGTAAAGGAAATAAGTAAGTGTGACTACAGGCAGATAGAGAGAACACATTGTTATTGGTGTTTACACATTTATTTTCTTCTGCCTCTAGGATATTACGAGCCTGCTTCATACCATCTATGAAGTCGTTGATGCTTCGGTAAACCATTCACCCAACTCTAGTAAAACCTTGAGGGTTAAACTCACTGTGGCCCCAGATGGGAGCCAGAAGAAGAAAAGTATCATGCTGAATCATGCTGGTAAGGTTTGATTTGGGCATTTCAGTGAGCATAGGATGTTCCTTAAACCAGTTGAGACTCTTTAGCCCAGTTTGCACATAACATCAAGCCATAACATGATTTGTTCATTTTGGGTTTAGCCTAATAGGTCCTGTTATAGCTTATTACAAGCCAGGACATTATGGTTTGTTGAACAAACCATTAGTTAAGCAAACCTGGCTTAGTGTTATGTGGAAATGCAACCTTTCAAGGAAATTGGATTAATGCAAAACATACATCGAAAAGTTTCCTTAGTGAAATGCACTGAGTTCTCCACTCCAGTCTACCCCATTGAAAATATTTGCACAATTAAGCTTTGCTTTTCTTGCTTCCCCTTGTCAAGGTTTCTTTTGATATCTCCTTCCTGCTTGCACTTCCTAACTTCAGTCAATCACTTTTTTTCTCCTCTAAAATTGGAGAACATTTCTAAAGTGTGTGCTGGATCTTTCCCTTCCTTCAAGGGTAGATGCAAAGTAACACAGCTGTCTATTTTCCACCAAGAGTAGATGTGCCCTGTTTAGTTGGATTGGGCCAGAAAATAAACAAGAAGAGAAGAAATAACTATTTCTGTGTCTTTCTCTCTCTCTCTCTCTCTTTGTGTGTGTGTGTGTTGTCAAAGCAGATCTTCAAAGCTCAAGGCATCGAACAGAGAGCAAAGCTGGTGAAGAAGCAAGAAGCTGTGACAAGAAGCCAAGGGGTTCCCTCAGGTAAACTGGAGCAAAATGTTTTATCTCTTTCTGAGACAATAACATGCTAGATAGCCTTGGATTTAACAATTTAGTTTAGCATTTCTGGAAACAGTGGGTCCTTTCAAACAATGCAGGGCCCGAGATCTGTTTTCTTGTAAGGTAGTCCCACATTAACATGGTAAAGTTCAGAAACGTGGGACCATGAGGGTTGGACCTGTCAAAAGGGGGCTTCAAATTGGAGTATTCTCCTTCTGGCTAGGTGAGAAATGGGTAAGGTGAAGGCAACAAGAACAACAATAAGGACAACAAAACAGTTGAATTAAAAAGCTGTGTTTCTGCTGCGCTAAAACTATCTATTACTACGAGTACGTTGCACCTGCCTGTATTCTTCCTCTCTTGCTTCAAAAACCCCATTGCTAGCTTGTGAACTCTTACTAAAAGCAAAATTGATACTCTTTTTATAACTGGTGATAGGTCTGCTTTAATTGCATTACTCACCTGTTAGCCATTTTGATAGCTAAGATTACCGTATGTATTTGTATGGTGCTCAACAATGAAATAACAGATTGGGTAAATGAGAATTTTCAGGTGATGGGATGGAAAAGGGCCAGTCTCCCTTTTAGCATCATTAAGGTCCCAAGCCATATCACAGTCCCCTTGTTTCCCGGTGGCTCCATTTGCCTTAAAATGCATGCATGCACACAGACCAACGATCTGAACCTGAAGCTGTCCATGATCTTGCCTTGATCATTTGTATAGTTAAAGTAGGCTAAGAAATGACCCTTTATTATCCTGACTAATCATCTTACAGTCACAAAAAACTGAAATGGGATTGACAACAATAATACCTAAAGACCAATCCTCAGGGTGGTCAGGAACTTAGTTTCTCCCTATGCCACAATTGGGCAGAAGGTTGTTGGGGAAGAGGCAAATGAAGATGAATTCCCCTTCTTAAGAATGCTAAAATACTAATCTTTTTGCCTTCAAATCAGCAGAACGGCTCACAAACCTGCGACGTGAGTTTTGTTAAGCAAATTGATATGTCATGAGGATAAAATGGCCATTCTCCCTAACCATTTGAAGAATATCAAAAATTGCAATTTCGAAAGTGTCTTTTTTATGTTGTTTGGGATTTCTTTCCTCCCTCGGGTAACTCAGGAGTACATCCATTTCCAATATTGTAGACAGCAGTGGTCCCTTTTATACACGGCTGCAAGTATCACTCTCCAGCCTTGGATATGTTAGATAAAACAGTGCTGTTTGAAATTGTGTCTCCCCAAGGGGTTGTGTCATATTATTTAGGAGTTTCGTGTTTCTCCTTGCTCCCCGCCCCAAAAAAACCTGCACATTTTGTCCCGTCGTTGGCAAGGGCTAGCGAAAAGCAGAGTCTGGCTAAGATTTGACTCAGAATCTTGCCTTTTGATCTGACTTATTGATGTACATTGAAGTTGATCTCTGCCTTAGTCTTAGCCCACTTGATGAAAAATAAAACTGCCCCCCCAAAAAGCAACATCACAGCTGAACTTCCCTCTTGCTACCAGTATGCGTGAAATGAATTGAAATGTTAGGATTTTAATGAAAGAAGACCAGTAAAAGCAAACACAGATGATTACAAAGCTTCTACAAAATAGCCAGGCTGCAAAAACGTTGCAGTGAAGAACCTCTCCAGGCCTAGCATGGTATAGAGCAAGGTAATAATTTGGTATTTCTGACCTGGAAAGTGAACTAGATACAGGGATCTAGCAGTTGTGCTGGCTTTTAAAAAATATTGCTACTCCACCACCACCACCAAATTAGGAGTGGGTTCTAATGGCCATGTTGGGTTTGGCTGGTCACAAAACACCCCTTTGCCAGGCCGGTGGGTGAGGTTGCTCCTGTAGAGAGTAGGGGAGGTATCCTTGGCAGAACTATGCAAGAACTGCTACCTAGCAAAGAGGGCTAGGACATTTAAGTTCTGGGAAGTAAGATAGTATTCAGAAGCAACACAAGCTGGGGTATAAGAGAGAGGGGAGGGGAGGGGAGGGATAGGCCTGCAAGATTCTGTGTTATATTTACTCTCATTAAGTAAAGTTCTAGTCTTCCCGTGGAGCTGATTTTCTGCCCTGGCCCACTTAGTATGGCTGGCATTCTCCACCGACCAGAGACATCCCACCTCTGGTGTCACCTTGCCTTTTTTCTCGGCTGTTAATCGCACTTCCAAGCAAAGCTTTGGACTGCAGCCACCCACTATTTTTATTTTCTAAGAGGGACTCTGGAACCGATGTGTAAAAAAAGACAGTGCTAAAGATTATGGCATTGCTTTGCAGCATGCTGGCTCCCGTTTTATTATTATATATGATTAAAAATGGTACAGGTGAAGCCTTTTTCAAGCCCAGCTTCATTGTCTCCTCTGGGTTTTTTTGACTTCCCAGGGTAGCTTAAATCTTGATATTCCCTGGTTGTTTCTCATCCAAAGACTAACCAAGCTTGAGACTGTTTGCTGCTCAGCCCAACCCAGGTCAACTAGCTGCTGTCACCTGTTAAGGTTTTCAGTTTAAAGTCCTTTTAAAAACAATAAAAGTAAGAGGAGATAGGGAGGGTGGTCTCTCTGAAATCTAAACCATCTCTGAATGCTCTCGCTCTTCAAATTGTCACATCAAGGTATCTTCCAGCCCTCCTTCCATAAATCCTTTCAATTTGAGTTGTCAGAAGCTGAACTTGAAGTTTTCTGCAGAGAAAGCATATACTCTGCCAACAAATACAGAACGGTGTAAAAATTTCTGCAGTGAGGAGTTTTGTGAAGTCTTATTCCTTTTGTGTGCTTTTACATTTGGTGAATGTTGATTACTTCAGCATAAGGCGTACCTTTTAAATGCATTCACTAGCATGGCAGTGTGAAGATAATATGCATCTTGTAATTTGTGAATAGGTACCATCATGGTGAATCTAAGCCTGAATCTAATGGGTGCTATCATCACTGTGTGGATGAAAACATTGAAAGGAGGAACCACTACTTAGATCTGGCAGGAATAGAAAACTACACGTCGAAATTTGGGCCAGGTACGTTGGACCCATGCCTTGAAAATGATTCAAGATCCTGTTATCTTTTCGTCTTTTGAAATGGGACCTTCTGGTTTACTTGGACAGTGAATCATAATGGGCATGCAGAGGTTGTGAGGTCTTTTGAGACTTGCAGGAATGATACTGGAATAGGATTGAAACAGATTAAGTCTGGGGGTATCAGCTGATACAAGACTTACCTGTTGTTTTCCAGAAAGATTTTGTACAGGACATAGGAAATGATCTTGAAGGACAGGACAGGAGGAAGAATGCCTACCAAGGCAATGGTCAGATAAGAGGGGCTTGAGCCCAGTCCAAGAAACTAATTTGAGAAAACGTCTCAGACAAGCCCCTCCCTAGGTCATATGAAGATAAAAGTGAGGGAGGGGGAAAGGACATTCAGACTTGCAAGATTCTGTCCCTACAACTGTTACAAGGGAGGGTTAAAGGTGGAAGCAAAAGGTCTCATGGAGGCAACTCACTTCCCTTTCCATCTTTGACGATCAACTTCGTTCAACCAATCCCAAATCCACCACCAAAATTTGGTAACAAAGTGACTAAACTTCAGCAAAGTGATTCAGGGCTTTGGGCGAGCAGGCTAAGGATGGAAATAAGAGTTGTTTCCAGTCACCTCTTATTCCTTAGGCCATTTTTGGAAGAAAAAAATTGTTTTGTCCCAGATCAGCCATTTTGCCGCTAGATTTCAGCAAGACCATGTTGGGGTGCTGTGGAACTCCACACATCCTGGTCCTCATGGGTGTTACAGCCTTATTTTTACAGTAGAACAAAAACTAGTTCTCTTTTAGGAGCTTTCAAGTTTGCAGTCAGGCCAGATTTTACTGTTGAATCTGTTGTACCCTTGGATGAATTGTTAGCACTGCGTGCAAAATTGTATTTTAGTCATCAAGATTGTCATTTCAATCAAAGTGAGTTAATTAAGCAGCACCATGTGAGAAACAGCCATGGTTGATTATCTGTGTATCTATGTGTTATTATAAACGCACAGAACACATACATTTCTGTATTGCTTCCTTTGGTTTTAGATGAAGCATAAAACACATTCTCAGAAGAGATGTTCCTCTCTCTTTCTCAGATGTTTAAAACAGACATTTTTATACTTAGTGGTGGGTTAAGCAAAATTTGTTTAAATGCAGTCAGTTAATCAAGGCTTCTTCATTTGCCCTTGATCAGAATGCTCATATTTAATTTAGCAGACTCATCAGTTTCCTTTCTATCAGCTACTCTGTGACTTAGTTTAAAAATGATATTGAATGCAACTGCTAATTGTTAGAAGTCTGGTGTTTTGTCTCCCTGCACTCCTTCCCATCTAGGTCTTCCATGTTAAGCCCATACAAGGAACAGATGAACACAATTTATCTCTCTTTAACAATGGTAAAATTGTTGTTGTGTTCACAGCAGTGGTAATTAAGGCAGCCGCCTATGTCCATGAAATCAGTGGGAATACATTTGCTCAGGTATGTGTAGGATTGCCCTGGAATTGTTGGATGATCTTTTATTGTTTCTTAGGCTCTCCACCGGTAGCTCAGAAGCACAATCCAACTGTTCGGGTTGCCAATCAAACAAGATCCCGTTCACACGAGCCAGAGGTCTTCCATGCCCACCAGCGGAGGTCACCTGTGGTCGATCCTGTTCATATCAACTTAATGGAAGCTTCATATGCAAAGCTTACAGAAATTCAGCAGAGGCTGCGGAGTCAAGATGCCACCAGGCATTTTGTAAAGTCTCCCAAGACTCAAAGCAAAAATACAGCTTCTGTTCACACAGGAAGGGCTATGAGGAGTAAACCCATCCAAGGGGTATCAGTACCCATGGCTTCCCCTACTGCACGGATAGGCCAAAATCTACCTTACCACCCCATACAGTCTCAGCAGACTTACAAGAAACATAAGCAGAGGGCAAAAGAGACTCACCAGTTGTGCAAAACCTTCCAAGCTCCTGGGACAGTTGTGGAAAAAGAGCATGTCAGAGATCTGCCTGCCGTCATCTTATATGAAGGTCAGGTTGGGCAGATGATCCAGAGACATGAGCACCACCACCATCATGAGCACCACCACCACTATCACCACTTCTACCAGACATGAAATGGACCTTCCCCTCTCTCTCTTGGGAAACTATCCCACATGAAGGAAGCGTGTTGTGGCCTCTCGGGAAAAGATTGGTGTTGTCCTTATTCATGTTAGTATTGTTGCTATAACATTAATATTCTGCTAAAGCTATGTTAGAACTTGTATGAAAACACTAAAAAATAACGGTGATAATAATAATAACCTAACATTATTTATATTATGTGGAACTGTATCGCTTACTTTAATAACTTGTGGTTTTTATTATTTTTAAAAGAATTGGCTTGTTCAACACACACACATATGAGAAAACAGCCATAGTTATCCTTATGGGAATCTTCACATAAACTCTCCATGTATTCAGAGAACACATGAAAAGATGTGTAGGACTAGTCCACTCCAGAACTATACATTGCTTTTTCTCCTATCAAATGTCATCAGAAGTTTGTAAGAAGTTCTCCATGTTTATGTGTGAAGATCTCTTATGTTCAAGGAGAATTGCCTCCCAATCATGGTGCCTCCTTGAGTGTAGAAGTTCTCTAAGCAAAACTCTGGAGAACTTTCCACTGATGGGTGAATGGGATTGTGGTGGTGGGAATGGATAGTTGAATGTACAGATTGGTTCATACAAAGACCCCTGTGATGAGCTATGTTTAAAATCAGTTTCTTAAGGGCCTTCACTAAAGCATGCTTTCCTTTGTGATACTGGAGCAGATGCTTTGAACAAATGGTTAGACACCTAGTTTATTGCACAGGTTCGCTCACCTCATGCAAATCTGTCAATCTGGGGAGCATTGTTCAGAGATTCTGGACTTCAGAAATACAAAATAGTTGCTCCCTCTAGGAGAATTCAAAAATTCTTATTTGATTGAGTGTGCTGCCAGAAAGGAAGGATGATGGAACCCGGGAAGCGATTTTTTTACTTCATTGCATTCATGTAGCCTGCTACTATTTTACTGTTCACTTCCTTGCTAGCTCTACCTTAATACTAGCGATGAGGAAATGGTTCATGTTGCTCATCAACAAAGCTACATTGTCCAAACGTTTATTGTTTCCAGTTTTTTAATGGCCACCTTTATAGGTTTCTTTATATGTTAGGTCATTTTTAAACATATTTTTCTTTTTTCTTGTCATGTTGGAAAACCATGGGAACAATGTACTCTTGTTACCTTTAGATTAGAAGGTCTATAGAAACTTGTGTCCTGGCAACAGAAAAACATGGTCAATCTTGGAGTACAGCAGGAGATCACCTCTGCTGATTGTCACTATTCCTAACAATAGATAGCAAGGGGTTTCTAACATCCCTTATGGTACTTGTGATACTGGAAGGTGAATGGCCTTCCCTTTCCACCATGTTGATCTGAGATGACATCAACAGGTGACTTGCTCTTGATTTCAGATAACTTTTGCTGGTCTCTTCAGGGTTCCTCTGACTACAAAATTCTCAGATGAGACTGAGGATCAGGGCCAGAATGGCCAGAGGCCTTTCTTGAAGTTTGTTGTAAAAACTAGTAGTGTATTGTGGTCACCAGTGACCAGGGCCACAAGTGTCATATTGGCATACCAACTTGACAAGAAATGCCTAGCACAGAGATGGGAACCTATATAAGATGTTGCTGGACTTCATTCCATCACATTTTTCTCAAAGGACTTCTGTTCCTCAAACCAGGAGAAATCAAGATAAAAAGCAGCCTTCCCCTATCCCATGTTCCCTTCTAGATGCATCTGACTATGATCCCCATCATCCCCAGCCAACCTAGTTGTGTGCTGCGCTTTCAAATCTATTCAGTTTTATTCAGCAAAACTGAAGGAAATAGGAACCAACTATTTGGGAACAGTTAAGACTCAGCAGCTGGGAAGTTCCAGCCAAACGCTTTGCACACACCAGTTCCAGATTTAATCTCTGGCTCTTTCCTTGCATGGGACTAAAAAGAATGCCTGTCTGAACTTCTGGAGAATTAATGTTAATCCAGGTCAACAGTAATGGGCTGGATAGATCCATGGTCAGACATGAGTTTGCACTCTGCACTAAACCAAAGTGCAGCTTGATGTTTGTGTTGTAGCTTATCTCAGTCCGTGACCTCAGCCATTGAGATTCATATGTTGTCATGGTTCATGGTTTAGCATTATGTATGTCTCAGGCCACGGTGGCCTATCCAGCAGACCATGGCTTAGAATTCTGCTGAACCCAGCCGCTATTCTATGTTCTGCAGTTCTTGTTCCACATGTGAGATGGAGGTAGGACAATATGAAGAGAAGCCTACCATACATTCCTTTCTCCTTACCACTCTGGTGAGGCCATAAGGCTCCATGGGTCTAGCAAGAGGGGTCCTGTAGGCAGAGCCATCCCCTTTAAACACCTGGTCTTCCCATTATAAATTAGTTGCTGAGTAGAATAGAGTAGCTGAAAGGGAAATGGTGTTAAGTCTGTTCCTCAGATTATACAAGGGTTTTGTTTTGTTTTGAGTTTTACAAGACAGTGAAAGGGGGCTCTGGGTTCCTTGGCAAAAGTCACCTCCTCCCCCCATTCCCTCTGGCTATAATATTGATTTTTATTTTTTACAACCAGCAAGAAACCCAGAGGATTCTCTTGTTGCTTTTGAAACTATAGAGGAAACTTTGACCACCCATGTGGAATTATTTTTAAAACAATATTTGATTTGGTTTTTTTTTTTTTAAGGTTGCTGTTTATGTTTACAAAATGTTTAACTGTTATTAGATTACATTAAAAAAAAAAAACTTTTAGGGCTAGGATTTTACCACCCCAAGCTCTGTTTTTGGTTGAATGAAAATGTCATGTTATCCTTTGCCAGAGAAAGTGTAACATTTGCAGAAGTGTTGAATAGATGAAGCTGACACAAAGAAAGATCAGATGGTTTTGAGGACCGAGACCAGAAACATTTGCTAATTAGCTCTTGTCTCAAAAAGAAAAAGGGGGAAAATGCTTTCCTTTTTTTTCTGGTGGACCTTTTCAAAACAAACCAAATTGATGACCTTGTAGTATGTTTTCTTTCTGCCAACATTCAGCTGACAAGATGTTCCACAGTGTGTTGATCTGTATGAAAACGAGCCTGTTTGGTTTATTCTTTTAATTTCTAAAGTTCAAAAAATATTTATATATTATTTTTGTTGTTTAGAAATCAGCGGAGGGAAAGTTGGATAGTAACTTCTCTATTTACCACTGGCTGACTTGTTTTGGTCTAACATTATTTTGCTGCTTGTGTTACTGGTCCTTTGTTTTTCTCCTCTGTGTGTGTGCGTGTGTGCGTGTGTGTAATTATGGACGGCAAAAAAAAAAAAGCAATTTACTTGCCTAGTAGAAGGAATAAGCTTATTTATATGATAGTGTTAAATGAAGTCTGATGTATTCAAGTGATATTTGTTATACTGCATGCAAACCCCTGAGAAAAAACACATTCCATTGGAGAAATAGTGCAGTGCTGGGGTGGGGGTGAGAAAGGGTTCCTTGCTCTTTCAGATTGTTTTAATGCTGAATGGTTTCTACTTCCCTTGGCAACTTGAACAAAAATCTGATATCCTTCTAACCTGAAGGGTAATGAACAGGAAATGTTGCAAATGCTTCACCTTGGGACAGATTAGCAATGGATTTTGGAGCCTTTAGGTGCCAAATAAATAAATAAACAAGTGGGAAATTAAAATAGGGAAGGAAAATAAGAAATTGAAGGAAAGAGCTGTGTGTAATAACTCACACAAGCAACCTTCACATTCAGTCTAACGCTATACCAAGAAGCCACGCATGTTAAAAGTTATCAGAACATCAACTCGTGTCCTCCAATCTGGTATCTTCCAGATAGGCCAGCCTTCAGCTAGCTAGGAATTCTGAGATGAGAAGTCAAACACATTAAAGAGTACTAACTATACTGGAAAAGGCTACAGAATGCAAAAATACCTGACTGGGGAATGCTCGTGTTCTAGATCAGAGAGATGCTGAAAATAAACATCACCTTTGAAATTACTCTTCAGATTTGTCCCCACCCATTTCTTTTTATGCATCCTGTTTTGCTTTCCTTCTAGTTTTCTTCTGAATCTAGGAGATTTTGACCTACATTGGTCCCTAATACTGTTACAACGAGCATTAGAGTAATATCTCCTATTCGATGAAAACTTGGAAGTCTTAGCTCCTAGAGTTCTTCAGATAATCCAAATGTTGGCTAAGTGTTTTCAGGTGGTATTGATTTAACACTCTTTAAGGCTGTTTTTTCTGGGTACACACCTTTAATAAGGATAGTTTTAAAGCATAAAGTGTAAGTTTATGGTATAAATAAAGGATTGTTCTGTATGTCAGAAATAAAACTCAACTTTAGGTTATCTAAAGAAAGCCTGTAGAGATAGGTTTTTCTGGAGATTCAAAATAGTGCTGATGGTTGCATTTGCTCATGTCTAAAAATGATCAAGAAACATGTATTTCTCACTAAGGTAAGAAACTCATTTTCAGTCTACGCTGCTTCATTGAAATTGGGGTTTACATGACTAAATGTCTTATGTACAGAAAAAGAGTTGAACATTTAAAGTATGCTCAGAAAGAGGTGATGCTGAAAAGAAGGATCATGAAATAATGCCCAAGTTGCTTTTTTAAAGGAAAAAAAAAACTAGCTCTGTAGAAATCTATGCTAAAAAGGCTGCATTGAGGAAATTTATGTTTTAAAAAAATCAGGAAAATATTCACAAAAAGGAGAGACTTCTAGCAGAATTAAAAGATGCAGAAAATACAAGTTTGTTTTTTATAAAAAAAACTATTAAAGATGTATTGTTATCAGGGTTTCTTTTGATTAACACAGATTATAACACAGATTGGATTTATACTGATGTACGTGTCCTTGATTAGAAATGTAAAAATGTAAGGTGTCCTGTGAGATTACACTAATCTGATACGTTTTATGTTGTGGCCACTCAGATGTCCAGTGGAAGTTTAAAAGCAGTATATGAAGATAATGGCCATGTGCGTTCAGTGGTGACTAATCTGGAACCTGATCATAGCAGATCTTTCTTCTGTCCAGTAGATAGACTACTCATATCTCCATGTAAAATCCTGGAGGCTAATGTCTACCACATCTTATGGCTACAATTTCCATAAATCAATGCAATGGCATACAAATCTCTTCTGAATCTCCAGCCCATTGGCTGGTTGACCAGGAGTTTTAGGTTTATGAGAGAAGAAACATCTGCACGTCAGGTACAGATTTATTCACCACGTTCCCTCCTTGCACTGCCTCACCTTTTTGTCCTAAAAAATCCCCAAAGATTTTGATTTACTTTCACCGGTAACTTCTCGAGGGCCAATTTCTCTGGTACGTGAAAAGATGGGCATTCGAATTTTTTGTACAGAAGACATTTAATCATGTGAGCTTTTATTTGTCTTTGGAAGTATTGAGGATCACACAGAGTTTTGCCCGCTTCAGTGAGATCTAGGTCTGTCTTATCACGGATCACTTGGTTTCCTGGGTGATGGGATTGAATTGCCGTGTTCCTCTTTCTGGGTGGATGGGTGTTAACATTTCCCTTAAAAAATTCTATCAGAAAAGATCTGCACCCAGGGAAAAGAAGAGGGGGTGAGCTTTTCATCTATGGCATTCCATGAGCATTTGGTCATGGATCTCTACTGAGCTAAGTTTTCAAAACGTGTAAGGTGAATGTTGAAGGAAACAAAGCAGAATGGGTGTGCAAAAGTGTCATCATTGACTAAGCGTTCTATTTTTGTTCATTTTTCCAGCTCCAAACTATACCTGGCTTCTGTTTTGTGAAATGCAAGTAACTTTTTATAAGACATCAGTACACCTTTAAAAAAAAAAAAAATCAGTGATGTAAAAATATACAGTATTTAAATACTGTTTGGCATTTGTATTATGTGGGTTAAGTGTGAATAGTGGATCACGTCATGTAACACAGTTTTTTTTGTTGTTGTTCTTGATTAATTTTTATCTACCGAACTCTGAAGTCTCCATACCATTTTTGTAAAAAAAAAAAAAAAA